GGCAGAGACAGAGAGGGAGACACAGAATCTAAAGCAGGCTCCAGGCTCTGAGCTGTCAGCACAGAGCCCCACATGGGGCTGGAACCCATGGGCTGTGAGATCATGACCTGAGCCAAGTCAGACGCTCAACCGACTGAGCCACCCACGCGCCCAAGTTCATGCTTTTGAGTCACAACAAGGCAAGGACACAAAACCCTCTGGCCTTTGCTCTTTCTGTTCCCAGACCAATTTAAATCAAATACATACCAAGCGCATGAGCAGAGAAATGGATTCCCGATTTCTGGTTTTAAGCTTGTCAGTCTCCTGGCCCAGCTGCAGGAGGCTGACAGAAGCCACCTGTAGGGGAAGAATTTGTAAGAAAGCAGATTTTTATGGAGGTCAGAGTGGGACAGCCTCAGGCTACAGGAAGTTAAGCAAAGATCAAGGAGGAGAGTTAAGAAGTGCTGCGATGTTCCTGGAGACTCTGGGTGGAAAAGTAGCAAATCCCCTAGGCTCCAGAGACGCGCTTTGCCTGTAAACCAGGCAGGGCAGACAACAGGAGGTTGCCAGGGGTGCTGGGGGAGAGGCTGCAAGGGGCGAGGACAAAAGCTAGAACAAAGACAGGTAATACTGTATGCTGGAGATTAATCCCTTTTCCTAGGCAGCCTTCAGACAGCACTGTCACCAAGTTGTTTACAGCTGACTCCCCACCAGACTAGAGACAGAGCTGGGCCTCTGATTCAGAGGCAGTGTTCTTCACATTCCCCTCCTGTCAACTCCCAAATGGCTGTCCTCTCCATTCACCTCCAGGCCCCCAACAGATCAAAGAGGGAGGAAGAAACATGATTAACTGCATCCCAGGCCCAGGTTGCTCTCATTCAGTAAAGAAACAGGGCAAACGGAAAAGGGGAGAGGGGGTCCCTTCTCACCCCATCTTAGAGATCTGGTATGAACATTCTTTATATCTAAGATGCTCAGATCCCATTCTGATTGGCTGGCTGGCCCAGTTTAAATGGAGACCCTCTAACTAAGCTTCCAGGAAAATGGTATGATTCCGGAGAGAATATGATTTACCGTGTGTCCTCCTAAAAGGAGACAAATGAGGCCCTACTTCTTAAGTCAGGCCCATGCTTTGCAGAGGAATAATTCCCCATTGTTGAGAATGCTGAAGTCAGGCAGTGGGTAATGGACCATGTATCAGAAGCGTATGGATTGAATTCCACCATGGAGGACTTAGAATGGAAAACCCCAGGGTTTTCAACAATGGAAAGAGACTACTTATTCTGTGTTTTTCCAGAGGCAAAACTTAAGATAAATGGTGATTGTTACAGGGAGTCAAACCTTGGCTAAAAATATTTTTTGAAACAATTTTTCTCGAATAAATGGGATGTAACCTACAGTACAATCGGCTGCCTGATTATAAGCCCCAGTCCTAGAAATCAAGCCCAGTGGTTCTCAAAGCGAGATCCCAGGATGAACAGCATCAACTTGGGATCTTGGAAACGCACAGTTTCTAGCCCCACCTCAAATCTACTGACTCAGAAATTCTCCAGGTGATTCTGATTTACACTAAGGTTTGAGAATGTGAAAAAAGGTTCCGTTGTTTGTGAGGATTAGAGTTGGAAAGGGCTTCCTTATGGGTTCTAAAACTTGGTGTCTCCAATTTGACTGTGCATCAGATGTCCCGGAGACCTTATTAAAAACAGAGGACTTGGGGGTGCCTGGGCGGCTCAGTCAGTTAAGTGTCCAACTCAACTCTTGATCACAGCTCAGCTCTTGATCTCAAAGCCCTGTGTTGGGCTTGAGGTGGGCTATGCCTTGGGCTCTGTACTCACCACCAGAAACTCCTTGAGGTGAGTTTCGATGTTCTTGTTGTAGAGTGTGAAGAGGGCAGCAGATACCTGGATGATGGCTTTGGTCAAGCAGTGAATATTGTTGTTGTAACCTAGGTTATGATTGACAGAGGGGGAGAGACACAAAAAGAAATAAAGTGAGCCACCCCAGGCTGACCCCAGCTGGTACTTTCTCACTGTTTCAGGCTAGGCCACCCCCGTTTGACACCAAAAGGACCAGGAGGCATTTGGGGGATGATATTCCTAGAAACATCAGAAGATAGTTAGATATTAGGATAAGGGTATTCCTAAGAAATCTCACTGGAATTGAATTTTACGGAGACTTCATTCTCAAGTGTTCTTTGAAACAGAACTTTACACCTGAGTCAGAATTGTGTACATTCTCCAGACAAATGTCTCCGTCTCCTCTCCCTACCCCGGGAGACTATCCTAATAGCACTGGTCCCTCCCACCTACTCCTTACTTACCATCCTTCTCAATACTATAGAAAGAAGAAGGGTCAGCGGCGAGGAGTGGGAGGGAAACAGCAAGAAAGATCAAGAGCAGGCAGGCCACCTTATATTCTTCCTCAGGGGATGAAGTATCTGGTAAGACGGGAAAAAAAAAAAAAGAGGGAAAGTACGATCAGCAAACAGGAGTTATCTTCTATAGAGGTCCTAGTTCCCAGGATTACTGGGAAGATCCTGTAAGAAAATTATCTAGGAAAACGCTTTCTAAAGCACTGCAGGCAAGTCATTCTTGCTGAAGGGGAACAGGACTGGCCTCCACTTCTCATGAGGGGCCTGATCCTGGAGGCCTCCTCTGGTGACCAAAGCAGAGCTCTTGGGGAAGGGCTCTGCGGACATGCAGTCAGAGGACACTGTCAGCTGCCTGATGGGGTGGGGAGGCAGGAAGGAGAGGGAAGGGTCTTACCAAACTAAGAGAGAAGGGCCAGTCCAGCAATTTTGAAAGGGCTTAATACCAGCCCCTTGGTTTCATCCCATTCTGAGTGTGGGTAAGAAAGAGGAAATGTGTACCGGGAAATGTAAAAGACAACGGGAGACGAGAGGAAGAAGTGAATAGCATCAGGGTGATTCTATGGGAGGGGAGAGCACCAGATCACTCTGAGGCACATAGATGCTGTACCACAGCATGAAATCACATGTAACTCAGCATGAAATCACATGTAACTGTGGCTTGCTCTCTCATTGTCTCATTTGCATTAATCTTACCTCCCCAACTAGAGCACAAGTTCCTTTGAGTATTTGCTGAGCATCAAAGGGGCTCTCGCTTAATATTTTTTAGCAGATTGACAGGTCAACTGGTTGGAACGTGGCTAGGAATCTAAATTGCCTATGTAAATGTTTTCTGGGGGTTAGGGACTACACTTTAAGTCTTTCTTTAGCTCCCAGCTTATATCCTCTGAATTCACAATCCCAAGGGAAGATTTCTTTTGACATTGACATTTTCCCACCTAAAAATAATGGTCCAAGCCCTCCCTTGCCCACTTTCCCCAGTCTTACCAGCTTTCAGATTGGCAATGGCAGCCACCAGGGCTGGGTCAATGTCACAGCCCACTCCTGCAGCAGAGGCCAGCTCAAAGATACTCAGGGTCACCTAGTAGAGAAGAAAACAACATTCTGGACAGGGTTCCCAGAGGGAAGTGTTTGACAGAAGCTACAGGTAGTCAGGATTCCCGGATCACAGATGTTAACCCTTCGGTGAATTATCATCTTTTCTAGGTATTCTTTTCATAGCTCTCCATAACCTACAGAGAAAAGGCACAAATGCTTTTGTTTAGCATTCAGATACTCCACAGTACGAATTTCCTCTCTCACTCTTAATTCCCCAAGAGCTTCCTACAGTCAATGCAACCAGAGTCATCAACTCACTGCCTCCAAACTACAACTCGCTTCCTTACTGTCATACTTGGGTTCCCTCTTCATCTACAGCGTCTTTTCCTGACCTCTACTTCTATCTAAGTGACACCCACCCCTTGAGGCTTAACTCAAATCTCATATTATGTGTGAAGCCCTCGCTGAAACACTTCAGGCCCAATTCATCTCTTCCTTCCTAAAGTGGTACCACGGACTTAGCATGGATCACACATGGTATTATCAGTTACCTTTTCAGATAGGAGGTGGCACATATGGCTTATCTCAGCACCTAGAAAATAATCCTTTACAACCTCATGGCATCTGAGGGGGGAAAAAGGCCTTGGAGTGAGAAGATCTGGGTTCAAATCCCAGGACCACCACTTTCTACATGTGTGACCTTGGCTAAAAGTTACTTAACCTCTTTGAGCCTCAGTTTCCTCATCTGTAAAACTGGGAGAACAATACCTCACAGAGTTGTTGTGGAGATTAAATTAGGTCACATGTATAAAGCATCTACCCTACACACTCAGAGTCACTAATAAACATTAGTCACCAATCAACATTATTCCTTTCCTCCTCTTCCTTTATCTCAAAGCCAGGAACATTGCACTTCTTTTCCTCCTCTTTAGTTTTTAACACAATGCTAAGCACATAGAAGGTATTCAATTAATATTGATTGATTGATGGAATTTAAGAAACAAAACAGATGAACATATGGGAAGGGAGACGGAGAGAAGAGAGAGAAACAAACCATAAGAGTCTCTTAACAATAAAGAACAAACTATGGATTGATGGAGGGAGGTGGGTGGGTGATGGGCTAGATGAGTGACAGGCATTAAGGAAGGCACTTGTTGTGATGAGCATTGGGTGTTGTATGTAAGTAATGAACCACTAAATTCTACTCCTGAAGTCAATATTGAACTGTATGTTAGCTAACCAAATTTAAATTACAAAAATACATTTATTGATCGATACTTGAATCTCTAGTACTTAAAATCAAGTTCCCAGGATATGGCCCCAAAGCCCCACTCCCATGCCGAGTATTTAGACCTCATTTGAGGTTAACCAAATTACTTGAAAATGTTTGGAGAGAACAAGGACAATTGTTTCAAGAGTAGACAACTGGGTGGGGTAACTTTAGCAAAGCACCCTACAGATACACCTATCAACACACACTTCACCTATGGTACTTGTCATGGAAGGCTCACCTTTGCCACGTTCTGCTCTGCCCTTTAATTAAATTCCCTATAGTTCATGGGTCTGGGGAGATCAGGGACCGGGTCCATGACCTGTGATTTTTCTGGAAGAAGAAAGGGATGATCGAAGGAGTCTTATTTTCTCTTTCCCTAATCTTCGCACTCCTCGGAGACAGCAACAGAATCTCTGATGGACAGGCCACCTCTCCTCCCCCCACACTCCGGCTCCAACCTACTTATTTTCACAAGCAGGCAGGGCCTAAAATCAGTGCTGCCCAGGAGATACAGGTAGACAAGCTTCTGACAGGCTATAGCATTCATCCCCGACATCAGCAGCTTCCAGAAACCCAAGTTCATTGTAAAAGAACAGTCAGAAGGGGCAACCAGCCCAGTGAAACATCAAACCCACATGGTCCCCAGGACTGCTTCAGCCTGAGGTTCAGGGGGAGAGAGGGGAAATTTCACAATTCCTTTGATCTCAAGGCAAGGAAGTTTTTCTTAATATCCAACTTTGATTCTTCCTGCTGACCAGTTCCCTCTTAATCACAGAGCTCTATCCATGAAGAAGTGGCCTGCCCTATGTGTCTGAAGGCCCTTGTTCCCAGCCTTTAGCTGTATATCCTACATAACACACCTGTTTGTTTCAGGTAATCCAAAAGACAAG